TTCTATTCGCACGGTGTTTATTATGAACCTACCTGTAAGAACGGCTTAGATGAACTGGATCATGCTGTCTTGGCGGTGGGTTATGGCACCATCAATGGTGAAGATTATTGGTTGGTTAAGAATTCTTGGTCCACTTATTGGGGTAATGATGGTTATATCTTAATGTCGGCTCGTAAAAACAATTGTGGTGTCATGACCATGCCAACGTATGTGGAGATGTAAAGTTTTTACACGCAGCCATCCGACATTTTGTTTTTTTTTCACAACTTTAGTTTAACACTTATTTTTTCTATTATATTTTTATTTTTGTAACTTTTTTAATGAAATAAATGCTACAAATATATTATTTAAACAAATTAACTAAAAATATTATTATATTTAACACTTTTTCACACTATTTTTCACTTTTTAACCGTTTTACTATCTAACGCACTTGTAAAAATTTAACTTTGTTCCGCTTGTTTCTTCTTTTTTGTCTTCTCATTAGTTTTGCCGCAGTTGCTAAAAAGAGTAGTAGCTAAAGATCCCTTCAAACATTTACCGTTATACAATTGTTTTTTTGAATTATAGAGGTAGGGTCTTGTTAGTGCTTTCTATTTAGTTGAGCGATTTTTAATTTTAAAGTGTTAGCAATAATAAAACTTGTTTTATATGAAATAAAATTTCAAATAAAGTTAATTTTATTTAAATTTAGAAATATGTATATATATGTATGTAATAGAATTCTTATAAAGTTTCTTATCAAAAATTTTGTAAAAAAATATAAAAAATATACTTTATAGAAAATTTATTTAAACTTTTATAGAAAAAGTTTTGGCATTATATTAAAAATTTAGAAAATTTTACAAAATTTAAATGAAAAAAATAATTTTGGAAATTTTCGAAATTAATATTTTTTTATTAAATAAAATTTTTTATAGAAAGTTTCATAAATTTAAACAAAAATTGTAAAAATTTTTCGAAATTGAAAAGATAATTTAAAAAAATACTTTAGTGTTTGAATTGAAAAATTTATAGGAAAAATTCTCGAAATTGGAAAATTTATAATAGAAAATTTAGAAAATTTTGAATTTAATTACATATTTTCCACAAGAAAATAATTTTGTTTAAACAAAGTTTTTCGTTTTAAATAATTTTCTATAGAAAATTTTTCGTTTTAAATAATTTTCTATAGAAAATTTTTCGTTTTAAATAATTTTCTATAGAAAATTTTTCGTTTTAAATAATTTTCTATAAAAAATTTTTCGTTTTAAATAATTTTCTATACAAAATTTTTCGTTTTAAATAATTTTCTATACAAAATTTTTCGTTTTAAATAATTTTCTATAGAAAATTTTCGTTTTAAATAATTTTTTACAGAAAATTTTTCGATTTAAATAATTTTTTACAGAAAATTTTTCGATTTAAATAATTTTTTACAGAAAATTTTTCGATTTAAATAATTTTTTACAGAAAATTTTTCGATTTAAATAATTTTTTACAGAAAATTTTTCGATTTAAATAATTTTTTACAGAAAATTTTTCGATTTAAATAATTTTCTATAGAAAAATTTTCGATTTAAATAATTTTCTACAGAAAAATGTTCGATTTAAATAATTTTCTATAGAAAATTTTTCGTTTTAAATAATTTTCTATAGACAATTTTTCGTTTTAAATAATTTTCTATAGAAAATTTTTCGTTTTAAATAATTTTCTACAGACAGTTCTTCGTTTTAAATAATTTTCAGTAGACAATTTTTCGTTTTAAATATATTTCTATAGAAATTTTTTCGTTATTTTTATATAGAAAAATATTATTCTAAAAATGTTGTTTTTTTAAATAATAATTTTTTTAATTTAATTTTTGGAATAAAAATTTAGAATTTTCGTTTTATATTCGTTGGAAATATATTTCTATAAATCTTTTTTAATATTCGTTTATAAAAAAAAACAATTTTCTATAGAAAATTTGTTTAGTTTGAAAGGCAATATTTTGAAAAAATTTATAGTTTAAAAAATAATTTTCTATTGAAAATCTATCGTTTTAAATATTTTTTAAAGAAATATAAAAGGATGTCGCTTTAAAATTTTTCTATATAAATTTGTCCTTTTTTTAATATTTTACACAAAAAAAAAAATTACGATCTAAATATTTGTTTATGTAAAAAAATTTACTCACAGAATAAACTTAGAATTATCATTAATTAAATTTTCATGAAATATTTTACAGTAAATTATTTTTCTGAAACGTTATTCCTAAAAAATGACTAATAGCAAAAATTAATTAATCATTTATAAACTTTATGTATTTTGCTAAAAAAAGGCAATAAATCTATTATTACTTTGTGACTTTTAGAAAAATTCCTCTGTACTTCATTTAAAACTATTTGCCATATCTTATGATTACAATAATTATTGTAGTTCAGTTGAAATATGTTATTTTTCATAATCTTTTAAAAGTTTATTGTCTTCTCATGCAGTTTAAAATGTTATTGCACTTTTTATACAAATACTTTAGTTTTATTTGTATTTAAGAAGAAATAATAAAAAAGTCAATAAATAAACATACATATATGTAGTTCTTAATGTCTAATAATAGTGCTTATCTTTTAGCAAACAGAACAGTTGTCCAATACTAGTGAATATATATATTTAATAAACTTTGATAACCTTAAAATAAGTGGGGGTCAGTTTCAGTTTATTTTCAATAGAAATTAATAAAAAAAAAACCCCACCAGCAATATGTCAAATATAGTCATAATAAAATTTTAGATTTTTATGATGTTTTTACGAAATCTTAAGATATTCTTTTTGTTTAAAATAAAAATCTTCCATAAATTGAAGGAATTTTATTATTTTACAAAAATTGGTTTAATAAGATTTGAATATTTTAATATATTTTTAGATTTTTAAAGCGATTTCATAGATATTTTGTGATTTTCATCAAATTAAAACATATATACAGTTTTATCCATTCAAAACCTTTTAAAAATATCAACAATTCTTACAAATTTAAAATGTCCGTTATTTTTCTTCTTGTTTTTGTATTTTGTCTTCAAAATTTCCTTTTTCAAATAAAACGTTACTTTTTCCTATTATTCATGCTACTACTATTAAAATACAACCCTGCTAATATAATTCTGTCATATATAACAACTCTGTTGTTGAATTTTATATTTTTAGATAATAGCCGGTTTTATTCGATTTTAAGCCGCCGCCGACATATTTAGTGTCAGTCGCCGCCGCCGTTAATATTTGTCGGCCCTGGGCCCTGTATACCTGGAATGAGTGTGTGTGTGTGGGTAAACCCCGCAAAAAATTATTAATATTTTGACATTTCTATCAATAATTTTTGTTTACTTTCTAAAATTGTGCAAAAAAATGTATTAATAATTTAATAAAATTAATTTTTGTAATAAAATCAAAATGACCTCCAACACAACTACTCTCCGGCCAGCCTCTGAGGAAGACAATCGCAAACGTATACTCACTGCCCATGAATATCGTAGCCTATGTGATTTTATTAATAACTATCAGGGTTTGCCCATAGACTGTGAAATGGAACTGCAGGATAATTATCCACAAATACAGCGTCTAACACTGAAGGCTGTCTTACAAAACGAACTAACGAATCGTATGCGTTCCCAGTATTGGCGTTACGATGCCAATGCTCAATTGTATTTGGACAGGTGCAAGATTTTCTTTTAAAATGTATACAAGTTATAAGAAATTAATGTTTTTCTTCCTTTTAAAGGTATGAGCAAATGTCTAAAAATTCTCCTACAGATAGTAGTATATTGTTGAATATAGCTAGAGAACTAAGAATTGGCCCGGCGATGATGTGTCGTTCTTTGTTGAAAATGAAATATGATTTTAACACAAAAATGCAATTGACCAAATTGATTCGTTATCCTCATCTAATAGAAGATCCTCTGCTGTCCGCTAATGTGGCACAATGTTTATGCAGTGATTCACAGGATGGCCCTTTAATTGATCTTAAGAGAAGAGTGTTGGGGGAGGAATATGAGTTTAAGGTAAGAGTTCACCAGGAAAACATAACTATTGTCCGAACTATTCTATAGTTCGTACTATGTGTAGACTATTCTACGGTTCATACTATAAACTATTCTACAGTTCAAAATATAAACTTCTCTATAGTAAAGACTATAGACTATTCTATAGTTCTGACTATACACTATTCTATTGAATGATCTAGTAGTAGTGATCACTAGCCTTCTAGACTAGTCTGTTTTATTATTTATACTTTTTCCAGCTTAAACAAAGAGCCAATGAGGCTGGTATGCATTATTATGATGAAAATGATCTCAGACGTTTGGGTTATGACAAAACTCCCGATATTAAAATGATTTTACCATTTCTGTACAAAGGAGAAGTCATAAATTGGATTGAGAGTAAAGCAAATTTTGGTGATATAAAAACCCACAAATGGAATATACAACAACAATTAAATAGTTATTGTAATAGGTAAATTAAACAGATGTTTAAAAAAAGTTTTCATTCACAATTTTGACTTGAAATCCATTTTTCTTACAGATTTGGTGCTGGCATTATTATATATTGGTTTGGTTATCATGAAAGTACAGCCAAACTCCCAGATAATTCTATAGGCATTATAGTCTTAGATGATTTTCCTGCAAAATGTGACATAGAACTTTTAGATTTAAGTGAGAATTTAGAATCTATAGATAAAAAAGTTTTAGAAGAAACTATAGAAGAAACAACATGATATTTATTAATTTAATATCAAAACAAAAAGGACTTGTAAACCAGATTTTCTTTGTTAAAATTGTTTACATATTTTTTTCTTTTTAAGTTTTTTTTTTTTAGCAAAATACTCGCACTTTAAAGATTTTATTGTAAGTTAATAGTTGAAAAACAAAATTGTTTTAATTATTAAGCATAAAAATATGTTTTTATTTATTCTTATAATTAGTTTATAATAAAATAGATATATATATTTTTAAGACAAAATTAGCTTTTTTATCAAATAATTGTAAAGTTTTCTATTTGATATTTAAGAAAAAATGCCATTTATATAACTCTCGTTTTAAAATAATTTTAAAAATAAATGTTTATTATTGCAGATTTTATATGAAATGTGTCTTTAAACAGCATAAACTCTAACATAATCCACTTCGAGAGCAGGTTGAGACCAGGTGGGGAACCAAATATTACGATTTCTAAAGAAATTCAAGCTGCCACGAGGATCAGTATTACCCCAAGGTTGGTTCTCGGTATTGGGAAAATCACCATTGCCACCAGCCGCCAAACCCAAGGTAATGTAAAACTAAAATGAAACGAAATAAAAAGGAAAAAATTATAGCAGAAAGTAAGTTTAAAACTTACCATTTGATCCAAGGGAGCATTAGCTTCACCCTTATTCCATATGGGTTCATTAACAATTTCCTTAAAATTAGTTTTAATCCTTCCGTATTCATTACCATCCACTGTCAAAATCAATTCATCTGGTTTCCAAGTTAAAGTATACAAATGAAATTGTTCACCAAAATGTTCACCATTTGACAAAGTGGTATCCTTCATAAATTGATGTCTCATTTCGGCATCCTTGTTTAAAATAACACCACCAAATAAACGTCCACCATTAATATTTTTATTTTGCCATTTCAATTCATGATTACCACGTGCATAGGCCACACGCATTTCACCGGATTTATAGTGATCACCATAGGCGGGTGTGGAGGGTTGTAGAGATATTACTGCGCATAAGGAAATAATAAAGAGTTTAGATTTTTATTGTCGTTTAAAGAAATATTTCCGAATACTTACAGGGAAATAGCCAATCGCCTATGGGTAATTTGGCTCTTACCTCAATGCGCCCATATTTGAAACGAAAATGATTTTTAGTTGATAAACGTCCTGAAATAATAGGCGGCAACAGGGAAACACCACGAGGAATAAGAGAACATTCATTATCAACATTGATACTGGTACATCTGGAAGGGAAGTAGAGGAATAAGTTCATGTTTATATATCAGTTCTAAATCTGTTCAGTTCTGTTCTAGTTCAGTTTTAGTTCAGTTCTAGTTCAGTTTTAGTTTAATTCTGAGTTCTAGTTCAGTTCTAGTTCAGTTCTAATTCAGTTCTAGTCGAGTTCAGTTCTATTTAAATTCTAGTTTAATTCTAGTTCAGTTCTAGTTCAGTTCTAGTTCAGTTCTAGTTCAGTTCTAGTTTAGTTCTAGTTCAGTTCTAGTTCAGTTCTAGTTCAGTTCTAGTTCAGTTCTAGTTCAGTTCTAGTTCAGTTCTAGTTCAGTTCTAGTTCAGTTCTAGTTCAGTTCTAGTTCAGTTCTAGTTCAGTTCTAGTTTAGTTCAAGTTCAGTTCTAGTTCAGTTCTAGTTCAGTTCTAGTTCAGTTCTAGTTCAGATGTAGTTCAGTTTTAGTCCAGCTCTAGCTCAGTTCTAGTTCAGTTCTAGTTCGGTTCTAGTTCAGTTCTAGTTCAGTTCTAGGTCTAGTTCAGTTGTAGTTCTAGTTCAGTTCTAGTTCAGTTCTAGTTCAGTTCTAGTTCAGTTCTAGTTCAGTTCTAGTTCAGTTCTAGTTCAGTTCTAGTTCGGTTCTAGTTCAGTTCTAGTTCAGTTCTAGTTCTAGTTCAGTTCTAGTTCAGTTCTAGTTCTAGTTCAATTCTAGTTCAGTTCTAGTTCAGTTCTAGTTCAGTTCTAGTTCAGTTCTAGTTCAGTTCTAGTTCAGTTCTAGTTCAGTTCTAGTTCAGTTCTAGTTCAGTTCTAGTTCAGTTCTAGTTCAGTTCTAGTTCAGTTCTAGTTCAGTTCTAGTTCGGTTCTAGTTCAGTTCTAGTTCAGTTCTAGTTCAGTTCTAGTTTAGTTCAGTTCTAGTTCAGTTTAGTTCTAGTTCAGTTCTAGTTCAGTTCTAGTTCGGTTCTAGTTCAGTTCTAGTTCAGTTCTAGTTCAGTTCTAGTTCAGTTCAAGTTCAGTTCTAGTTCAGTTCTAGTTCAGTTCTAGTTCAGTTCTAGTTCAGTTCAAGTTCAGTTCTAGTTCAGTTCTAGTTCAGTTCAAGTTCAGTTCTAGTTCAGTTCTAGTTCAGTTCTAGTTCAGTTCTAGTTCAGTTCTAGTTCAGTTCTAGTTCAGTTCTAGTTCAGTTCAAGTTCAGTTCTAGTTCAGTTCTAGTTCAGTTCTAGTTCAGTTCTAGTTCAGTTCTAGTTCAGTTCTAGTTCAGTTCTAGTTCAGTTCTAGTTCAGTTCTAGTTCAGTTCTAGTTCAGTTCTAGTTTAGTTCTAGTTCAGTTCTAGTTCAGTTCTAGTTCAGTTCTAGTTCAGTTCTAGTTCAGTTCTAGTTCAGTTCTAGTTCAGGTTCTAGTTCAGTTCTAGTTCAGTTCTAGTTCAGTTCTAGTTCAGTTCAGTTCTAGTTCAGTTCTAGTTCAGTTCAAGTTCAGTCTAGTTCAGTTCTAGTTCAGTTCTAGTTCAGTTCAAGTTCAGTTCTAGTTCAGTTCTAGTTCAGTTCTAGTTCAGTTCTAGTTTAGTTCTAGTTCAGTTCTAGTTCAGTTCTAGTTCAGTTGTAGTTCAGTTTTAGTCCAGCTCTAGCTCAGTTCTAGTTCAGTTCTAGTTCGCTTCTAGTTCAGTTCTAGTTCAGTTCTAGGTCTAGTTCAGTTGTAGTTCTAGTTCAGTTCTAGTTCAGTTCTAGTTCAGTTCTAGTTCAGTTCTAGTTCAGTTCTAGTTCAGTTCTAGTTCAGTTCTAGTTCGGTTCTAGTTCAGTTCTAGTTCTAGTTCAGTTCTAGTTCTAGTTCAATTCTAGTTCAGTTCTAGTTCAGTTCTAGTTCAGTTCTAGTTCAGTTCTAGTTCAGTTCTAGTTCAGTTCTAGTTCAGTTCTAGTTCAGTTCTTTCAGTTCTAGTTAGTTCTAGTTAGTTCTAGTTCAGTTCTAGTTCAGTTCTAGTTCAGTTCTAGTTCAGTTCTAGTTCAGTTCTAGTTCAGTTCTAGTTCAGTTCTAGTTCAGTTCTAGTTCAGTTCTAGTTCAGTTCTAGTTCGGTTCTAGTTCAGTTCTAGTTCAGTTCTAGTTCAGTTCTAGTTCAGTTCTAGTTCAGTTCTAGTTCTAGTTCAGTTCTAGTTCAGTTCTAGTTCGGTTCTAGTTCAGTTCTAGTTCAGTTCTAGTTCAGTTCTAGTTAATTTCTACTTCAGTTCTAGTTCAGTTCTAGTTCAGTTATAGTTCATTTCTAGTTCAGTTCTAGTTCAGTTCTAGTTCGGTTCTAGTTCAGTTCTAGTTCAGTTCTAGTTCAGTTCTAGTTCAGTTCTAGTTCAGTTCTAGTTCAGTTCTAGTTCAGTTCTAGTTCAGTTCTAGTTCAGTTCTAAAGTTTAATCATAGGGAAAGCATCTTTATATACATAGTTCAATGTTAGATAAATTTTATCTTTAATTAAAGATTTTATATAGCCAACGTTTTTACTTACCTATGTCCCAAATCAATAGTATCCTTTTTTAAATTCTTAGTGTTCAAACTGGCCTCGATTCTCAGTATACCACCTTCTACGTTCGCAGTACCATTGTATAAAACAAATTCAGCATCATCAATGGTGGGTGGAAAACGTACTTCATTCGTCCAATATTTCGCGTTTAAAGTATCAAAATTATCCGAAATATTAAATCATCACGACAATAAGGACCACCAAATGATCTGGGAACTTCGGAAACAGTAGGACGGCATATTTTATTTTCTAAAGTAACATCAATTGTTCGTTTAGTAGACGATTCTGTTGATGTTTCACCAGAAGTATCAGGTGCCGTGGTAGTAATTCTATAATTAGGATTACCACTTTTGAAAGCCTCCACAGAAATGGGATCTTTTTTATCGCGAAATATTAAGCGATTATGCTGAACAGCCATCCAAACATAGACAATGTCATTGTCCTGCAGTTTCTTGTCAAACTCAACTGTCCACTTTTTATTTCGTGGTATACTAGCTGTACCGGTGTATTGACCCGTTTCAAAGGAACGAAATGCTTTATTAATATTAACATGAAAAGATACCCACTTGATGTCGGGATCATCTAAATATTTATGAAAAAATTACATATTTAAGTATGTATAACAACGTCATTATTTAGGTATTCAGTATTTTTCCCCCTACTTACTCGGTATGGATAGAGTAAATTTATCTCCAATTATATTAAATTCTGCCGGTTGTATGGTAAAGGTACAGCCCCATCCTGCTAGATTTACCAGTAATATTATAGATAATAGATTTCTATACATAACGTTTAGTATAATACTTTTTTTGCGATCCCAATTATATTTGTAGTTAATAGCGCTTAATCTAAGTATCTACCTTTAACTGCGAGTGCTGAGCTTATACTAACTAAATAAAAAAGAGATAATTCTTGAACATTGATTATATTGTTTGTTATTTTTTTGTTTTTAAACTGGCAAATTCCTTCTTATTATCCAATTAAGTCGAAATTTTGTAAGTTTAGAAAGAGAGTAATTTTTAGTGCAAGACTTGCTTGCGTTTAATTACTCTGAGGAGTATGCAATCAGGTTTATAGGTTTAAATACTAGATGATAGTTGAATACCCTATATAAAGATTTATTAATTGAAGCTAATGAAGTATAACTGAACTAGTAAACTGAAGCTTAGAATTGAAGTTGAAGTTGAACTAGAACTTGAACTAGAACTGAACTAACTAGAACTAGAACTGAACTATGAACTGAACTAGAACTGAAACTCGAACTGAACTAGAACTGAACTAGAACTGAACTAGAACTGAACTAGGAACTGAACTAGAACTGAACTAGAACTGAAGAACTGAACTAGAACTGAACTAGAACTGAACTAGAACTGAACTAGAACTGAGCTAGAACTGAACTAGAACTGAACTAGAATGAACTAGAACTGAACTAGAACTGAACTAGAACTGAACTAGAACTGAACTGAACTGAACTAGAACTGAACTAGAACTAAACTAGAACTAAACTAGAACTGAACTAGAACTGAACTAGAACTGAACTAGAACTGAACTAGAACTGAACTAGAACTGAACTAGAACTGAACTAGAACTGAACTAGAACTGAACTAGAACTGAACTAGAACTGAACTAGAACGGAACTAGAACTGAACTAGAACTGAACTAGAACTGAACTAGAACTGAACTAGAACTGAACTAGAACTGAACTAAACTGAACTAGAACTGAACTAGAACTGAACTAGAACTGAACTAGAACTGAACTAGAACTGAACTAGAACTGAACTAGAACTGAACTAGAACTGAACTAGAACTGAACTAGAACTGAACTAGAACTGAACTAGAACTGAACTAGAACTGAACTAGAACTGAACTAGAACTGAACTAGAACTGAACTAGAACTGAACTAGAACTGAACTAGAACTGAACTAGAACTGAACTAGAACTGAACTAGAAACTGAACTAGAACTGAATTAGAACTGAACTAGAACTGAACTAGAACTGAACTAGAACTGAACTAGAACTAAACTAGAACTGAACTAGAACTGAACTAGAACTGAACTAGAACTGAATTAGAACTGAACTAGAACTGAACTAGAACTGAACTAGAACTGAACTAGAACTGAACTAGAACTGAACTAGTACTGAACTAGAACAGAACTAGAACTGAACTAGAACTGAACTAGAACTGCACTAGAACTGAACTAGAACTGAACTAGAACTGAACTAGAACTGAACTAGAACTCAACTAGAACTGAACTAGAACTGAACTAGAACTGAACTAGAACTGAACTAGAACTGAACTAGAATTGAATTAGAACTGAACTAGAACTGAACTAGAACTGAACTAGAACTGAACTAGAATTGAACTAGAATTGAATTAGAACTGCACTAGAACTGAACTAGAACTGAACTAGAACTGAACTAGAACTGAACTAGAACTGAACTAGAACTGAACTAGAACTGAACTAGAACTGAATTAGAACTGAACTAGAACTGAACTAGAACTGAACTAGAACTGAACTAGAACTGAACTAGAACTGAACTAGAACTGAACTAGAACTGAACTAGAACTAACTAGAACTGAACTAGAACAGAACTGAATTGAAGTAGAACTGAACTAGAACTGAACTAGAACAGAACTAGAACAGAACTAGAACCGAACTAGAACTGAACTAGAACTGAACTAGAACTGAACTAGAACTGAACTAGAACTGAACTAGAACTGAACTAGAACTGAACTAGAACTGAACTAGAACTAGAACTGAACTAGAACTGTACTAGAACTGAACTAGAACTTGAACTAGAACTGAACAAGAACTAGAACTGAACTAGAACTGAACTAGAACTGAACTAGAACTGAACTAGAACTGAACTAGAACTGAACTAGAACTGAACTAGAACTGAACTAGAACTGAACTAGAACTGAACTCGAACTGAACTAGAACTGAACTAGAACTGAACTAGAACTGAACTAGAACTGAACTAGAACTGAACAAGAACTAGAACTGAACTAGAACTGAACTAGAACTGAAGTAGAACTGAACTAGAACTACAACTGAACTGAACTAGAACTGAACTAGAACTGAACTAGAACTGAACTAGAACTGAACTAGAACTAACTAGAACTGAACTAGAACAGAACTGAATTGAAGTAGAACTGAACTAGAACTGAACTAGAACAGAACTAGAACAGAACTAGAACCGAACTAGAACTGAACTAGAACTGAAACTAGAACTGAACTAGAACTGAACTAGAACTGAACTAGAACTGAACTAGAACTGAACTAGAACTAGAACTGAACTAGAACTGTACTAGAACTGAACTAGAACTTGAACTAGAACTTGAACAAGAACTAGAACTGAACTAGAACTGAACTAGAACTGAACTAGAACTGAACTAGAACTGAACTAGAACTGAACTAGAACTGAACTAGAACTGAACTAGAACTGAACTAGAACTGAACTAGAACTGAACTAGAACTGAACTAGAACTGAACTAGAACTGAACTCGAACTGAACTAGAACTGAACTAGAACTGAACTAGAACTGAACTAGAACTAGAACTGAACAAGAACTAGAACTGAACTAGAACTGAACTAGAATTGAACTAGAATTGAACTAGAATTGAACTAGAATTGAACTAGAACTGAACTAGAACTGAACTAGAACTGAACTAGAACTGAACTAGAACTGAACTAGAACTGAACTAGAACAGAACTAGAACCGAACTAGAACCGAACTAGAACTGAACTAGAACTGAACTAGAACTGAACTAGAACTGAACTCAAACTGAACTAGAACTGAACTAGAAGTGAACTAGAACAAGAACTAGAACTAAACTAGAACTGAACTAGACTAGAACTGAACTAGAACTGAACTAGAACTGAACTAGAACTGAACTAGAACTGAACTAGAACTGAACTAGAACTGAACTAGAACTGAACTAGAACTGAACTAGAACTGAACTAGAACTGAACTAGAACTGAACTAGAACTGAACTAGAACTGAACTAGAACTGAACTAGAACTGAACTAGAAGCTGAACTAGAACTGAACTAGAACTGAACTAGAACTGAACTAGAACTGAACTAGAAGTGAACTAGAACTGAACTAGAACTGAACCAGAACTGAACTAGAACTGAACTAGAACTAGAAATGAAACTAGAGCTGAACTAGAACTGAACTAAACTGAACTAGAATGAACTAGAACTGAACTAGAACTGAACTAGAACTGAACTAGAACTGAACTAGAACTGAACTAGAACTGAACTAGAACTGAACTAGAACTGAACTAGAACTGAACTAGAACTGAACTAGAACTGAACTAGAACTGAACTAGAACTGAACTAGAACTGAACTAGAACTGAACTAGAACTAGAAACTGAACTAGAACTGAACTAGAACTGAACTAGAACTGAACTAGAACTGAACTAGAACTGAACTAGAACTGAACTAGAACTGAACTAGAACTGAACTAGAACTGAACTAGAACTGAACTAGAACTGAACTAGAACTAAACTAGGACTGAACTAGAACTGAACTAGAACTAAACTAGGACTGAATTAGAACTGAACTAGAACTGAACTACAACTGAACTACAACTGAACTAGAACTGACCTAAAGCTGAACTAGAACTGAACTAGAACTTTATTTTTTCATAATTACGGTACAAAACTTATTTACTAAACCCGTAAAATTTCATTAAAGTTCTTAAAAAAAATCCCCTTTTATTAAGCAGCTTTAAAGAAATACTCTCTGATTTAAACAACGTTTTATATACAATTCTTTGTATGGCTTCAAATCAACGCTCTCCAAAGTCAAGTTCAAAGCTCTCAATATACTCTCAATATAACAAAACAAGTTTAAACCGGGCTCCCAAGTACATATTGAGGGAGCACAATAATAGTATCAAACATCTTAATTTTGTCTTTACAAGTTAGTCACAGTTATCAAGTCTTAAATAAAGGAACGCGCTATTTTTTCGCAAAGACGCAAATCTTTGTGTTTTTTTTTTTTATAATATTAGAAATCACAAACAAAAGATGATAAAGTTTTTAAATTTAATTATAATCAATAGTATTCTTTTCTTTACAATTTGTTTATGTTATGAAGTACCTAATGTTGAATTAAATTTAATAGATAAGGGATTTTCTCTAACTTTAAAAGGTAAATATTGGGGAATTTGGAAAAAAGTTAAAGAACTTTTGAGAAAAACCGGAAATGTATTTATAAACAACAACTTTGTTATAAAAGTGAATAAAATATTAAAAAACTAAAATAATATGTAATTAATTAAGTAATTTTTTATTTAACAAAACAAAAAAAAAACAAAAATCAAAATTATTAAAACTTAATTTTTCCAGGGGACTTACAATAATAAACTATTAGTAAAGTTATTGAGTTACTGTGGGAAAAGTGCTTTATAAACCATAAATAAACTATTGATAACTTTATGAATAACGATTTTCTGAAATAGATCTAAACTAGAACTAAACTAAAACTAAATTAGAACTTTACTAGAACTAAACTGTAGAATTTTAAAGTTTTGTACCTTTATAGTAATGTATTAATCAAATTCCATACATTTTCAGATGAACCGGGTCTAAAACAAGTTTTTTACATTATCAAAATAAACGATGAGTGTCCCACGCTAATGGACTTACTCTTTGAACCTCAACCTGACTGGACAACAACACAAACATCAAAAGTTCTAACATCTCAAGATAAAGTAAACATTTCATTATTGGTAAATTATCGCGGAGAGGCCTATACGTCCTATCAATATATAGTAATTGGAGAGAATACGATTGGCATTAAGGCGACACCAAGTCCTCAGAAAAATGAAGACAATTGTGAGAACACACGGGTCGAGGTAAAATGTGAAAAAGCCCAAACGATCGTCTTAGGTATATCCAATATATGCCAAGGTCAATTGATATTCGAAGATAATTTCAATAATTCGCAATTAAATATGAATAAATGGCGATATGATATAAGACATCGTTTGATTGGTACCGATTCGGAAGAATTTGTAGTATTCGATAATCATCCCGAAAATATTTTCATACATGAGGGCTATTTAAATATACGACCCAAAGTGACACAAGAGAATATGAAGGAGGCTAAATTGAATTTTGGTTCTAGGTGTACGGCATTTGCCAATCGTAAAAAGGAATGTGAACTAATACCTCAAGCACATTTCATATTTGTACCACCTTTCAATTCATCACAAATTTTTACCAAAGATTCGTTTCAATTTCAATATGGAAGAATTGAGGTTAAGGCGAAACTACCAAAAGGTGAATGGATATTACCGTGTAAGTTTCTTTTAAAGATTTCTTAGATTAACCCGGAATTAAGTAAATTTTGCAAAATTTCATTTTCCTAAACTAGATTTGATGTTACGAAACGATGATGCTTTGAATGAAAAGCAAATACACATAGCCTTTGCCCGAGGTAATGAAGAACTATTGACCTCCGATAATATCGATCTAAGTGGTAAAATTTTATATGCTGGCATTGTAAGTGATGTAGAGAAAAATGAAACACATTTTAAACAAACAGCCTCGAATGAACATTTTGGCAATGATTTTCATATTTATACCTTGATTTGGAAATCAAATGAAATCAGTATGGAAGTGGATGGTGTTAAATATGGCACAATTACAGGGAATTTGGAACAGTTAAATACAATTAATAATTTCGTAAGTATACTTATACGACTTTTCCTTATTATCTTGTTCTGCAGACACAATTTTGTTAAGGGTTCGAAGGACCATTGTTTATAACATCTTTTCTTTTAGTTCTTCATTACTTTTGGCGTTTCCGTGGGTGGCCATATATATTTTCCCGATAATTTACAGCAGCCAGATAATAAGCCCTGGTCTAATACCTCTCCCAGATCGATACGTGATTTCTGGCGTTATATAAATAGTGGCAAATTAAAATGGTCCGGTAATGAGACTTTACAAATTGACTACGTTAAAGTTTATGCTATCTAATCGTTTAAGGAAATAGCAGCAATTGTGATACTTAAATTTTATTATAAAAGTTTTTTTTTTTTAATGAAAATAAGAGACTAGAATGTAAAGGGTTTCTAATAAAGTAATCTTTTCCACCAATTTCAGAAATTAATGTCTTCTAGTATTATTTATAATCAATTATGTTCTAATGTAATCGGTCCTAATTTATAAAATAGTTAGCTATGTTAGTTAGTAGTTTGTCTATAGTCTAGTCTATAGTATAGTTTATAGTCTAGTTTATAGTCTAGTCTATAGTCTAGTTTATAGTCTAGTTTATAGTCTAGTCTATAGTCTAGTCTATAGTCTAGTTTATAGTCTAATTTATAGTCTAGTCTATAGTCTAGTCTATATTCTAGTCTAATCTATATTATAGTCTATATTCTAATCTATAGTCTAGTCTATAGTTTAGTCTACACTCTAGTCTATAGTCTAGTCTATAGTTTAGTCTATATTCTAGTTTATAGTCTAGTCTATAGTCTAGTCTATAGTCTAGTCTATAGTCTAGTCTATAGTCTAGTCTATAGTCTAGTCTATAGTCTAGTCTATAGTCTAGTCTATAGTCTAGTCTATAGTCTAATCTATATTCTAGTCTATAGTCTCGTCTATAGTCTAGTCTATAGTCTAGTCTATAGTCTAGTCTATAGTCTAGTCTATAGTCTAGTCTAGTCTAGTCTATAGTCTATAGTCTAGTATAGTCTAGTCTATAGTCTAGTCTATAGTCTAGTCTATAGTCTAGTCTATAGTCTAGTCTATAGTCTAGTCTATAGTCTAGTCTATAGTCTAGTCTATAGTCTAGTCTATAGTCTAGTCTATAGTCTAGTCTATAGTCTAGTCTATAGTCTAGTCTATAGTCTAGTCTATAGTCTAGTCTAGTCTAGTCTATAGTCTAGTCTATATAGTCTATATCTATATTCTAGTCTATATTCTAGTCTATAGTCTAGTCTATATTCTAGTCTATAGTCTAGTCTATAGTCTAGTCTATAGTCTAGTCCATAGTCTAGTCCATAGTCTAGTCTAGTCTATAGTCTAGTCCATAGTCTAGTCCATAGTCTAGTCTATAGTCTAGTCTATAGTCTAGTCTATAGTCTAGTCTATAGTCTAGTCTATAGTCTAGTGTATAGTCTAATCTATATTCTAGTCTATATTCTAGTCTATAGTCTAGTCTATAGTCTAGTCTATAGTCTAGTCCATAGTCTAGTCTATAGTCTAGTCTATAGTCTAGTATATAGTCTAGTCTATAGTCTAGTATATAGTCTAGTATATAGTCTAGTATATAGTCTAGTATATAGTCTAGTATATAGTGTAGTATATAGTCTAGTCTAGTCTAGTCTAGTCTATAGTCTAGTCTATAGTCTAGTCTATAGTCTAGTCTATAGTCTAGTCTATAGTCTAGTCTATAGTCTAGTCTATAGTCTAGTCTATAGTCTAGTCTATAGTCTAGTCTATAGTCTAGTCTATAGTCTAGTCTATAGTCTAGTCTATAGTCTAGTCTATAGACTAGTCTATAGTCTAGTCTATAGTCTAGTCTATAGTCTAGTCTATAGTCTAGTCTATAGTCTAGTCTATAGTCTAGTCTATAGTCTAGTCTACACTCTAGTCTATAGTCTAGTCTATAGTCTAGTCTATAGTCTAGTCTATAGTCTAGTCTATAGTCTAGTCTATAGTCTAGTCTATAGTCTAGTCTATAGTCTAGTCTATAGTCTAGTCTATAGTCTAGTCTATAGTCTAGTCTATAGTCTAGTCTATAGTCTAGTCTATAGTCTAGTCTATAGTCTAGTCTATAGTCTAGTCTATAGTCTAATCTATAGTCTAGTCTATAGTCTAGTCTATAGTCTAGTCTATAGTTTAGTCTATAGTCTAGCCTATAGTCTAGTCTATAGTCTAGTCTATAGTCTAATCTATAGTCTGGTCTAGTCTATAGTCTACTATATAGTATAGTCTACAGTCTAGTCTATAGTCTTGTCTATAGTTTAGTCTAAAGTCTAGTTAAGAGTTTATTCTAATCTATAGGCCATTCTATTCTAAGCCTAGTCCTTACTCTAGAGTCTAGACTATGGAATTTAACTGTTCATGTTAGAATATAAAAATAAATAAAAATAAATATTGTTAACCTAGGTAACGCTTTCAACTTTTTGCCATTACTATGGCAGCCCAAACAAAAAAAACCTTTAGAAAAGATTGTTCGATAACGCACTATAAGGAAAACTAAAGTCCTTATTTGGCAACCTTTTACACAGTTATACTTTGGTTTTCATTCTTATCAAAAACTCAAAATATCGGTTTTAGAAAATAAAATATATTTTAAAATTTTTACTATATTTTCCATTAAAAGAAACCTATTTACAAAATGCCCTGTTTCTCGGCCTATAATAGACGTTCTTATGAACCATTGTTGGGTGATAGACCTGTACCTAGAGCAAAAACTGCTGGCCGTTCGGGTGCTTACACTTCTCAAGGGGCACAAAAGGAGTCTGCGGTAAGAACCGGCAATGCCGTAAAGAGAAATCGTTTTAAGATAGAGAAAAAAGTTGCGCTCCCAGTGCAGGAGTTTAACCGTTTAAAAACTGCTGCCAAAGTTTTAACACTAGAAGACCGTTTGAATGCTCTTATGTTGAGGGAGCAGGAAATGAAACGTTTGGAAGAGGAAACCGAACGTACCAAACAATATTTCAAGCAAATCGATGAGGCACGCAAAAAGAAGGAAGAAGAGAATAGCAGGGATATCGAGGGACAAGAACCTAATGAACAGCTTAAGGTTTTGGAAAGAGCTTTCTTAGCCAAACACGAACAGGAAGAGGAGGTGAAAAAAGCCAATCGCATTATATTGGATGCCAAATGTCATGCGGTACGTGATGCCCAGGTGCAAGAGAAATATGAGCTACAAAAAGAATTGAGAAAAGATGAGCAACGTCTGGAGAAACAAGTTATCGATCGCGCTAAGAAGGCTTTAAGTGAAGAGGATGCCAAATATGAAAGGCTACATGAGGAGAAACAAAAATATGCCCATGAGATTAAGAAACAATTAAATGAACGGGAAAATGCTAGATTTCTAGAAGCAGAACGCATTGAAGAGGAAGCTATTATGCTGCGCAAAGCCAATGAAGCTATTAAGAGAGACGAAGAGAGACAAGCAAAATTGGCCAAAGAGAGGCGTTTAAAATATCGTGATGACTTGGCCAAAGTGGTAGAAATGTCCACCACTTTCAGGCGCATGCTGTGCGAGCAAGAGCGTGAGGCGGAAATGAGAATAGCAGCCTATATGAGAGCCAAAGAAGAACGCATGAAAGCATTACAGGCTGAACAAAAGTTAGCCAAAGAAGAATTGGAACGCAAGCAACAGCGTATTTATAATTTGGCAGAGAAAATCTTACAATCAAAATCCGATCGTGAAGAAATGTCTTACCTCAGAGAACAGGAGAGAATTGAGAGAGAATATCGCCGCAAAGAAAAAGAAGCTGCCATGCGAAAAAAACAAATCGAAAAAGAGTTGGCCGAGGCTCGAGAACGTCAAATGCAGGAAACCAAACATCGTCAGGCTTTACAAATCGCCAGAGCCGAACAAGAGTTCAATACTCTCATTGACACACTAAAAGAGGCCGAAGCTAAGCAAAAACGTGAGGATGAACTGAGGGAATGTCGTCGTAAATGTTATCGTCGTGATATTATCCAACAAATCGGTGATAATGAAATGAAACGTCGCAGTTTGCAGGAATTGGAAAAGAATCAAGCATCAGCTTGGCGTGAAAGTGAACGACAACGTGACGCCAATATAAGAGCGGTAATAACGGCTAAATTGAATGCTATGCGTGAGGCTTGTTTGCCCGATAAATACATTAAGGATGTGGAAAAACAATTGTCTCGAATAGTGGGCAAAGATAAAACTCTACCTAAGTTGGCTTCGTAAGCGTATAGAATCACGTACTCTGGGCATAATGTTTGTCAAATTAAAATGCAGCAACTGTTCTTGGACTAATCGGTTTAGTAGTTTTAGGTAAAAATTAAATTTTTGTAAAATTTTTAAATTTTTTCCGGGAATCCTTTTAATTTGACTTATTTTATGACCAGATTGGATCTGAATTCTATTCGGGGAATAATTTATGAATTATTTTTCAATAATAAAGAAGCACTTTTCAGAATAATCACAAAAATTATTTGTTTTTAATTAAAATTTGCATAAAGTTGTTCAATATCTAAAGAAACTCCTTTTATAAAGAAAACAAGTAAGAAATTATAGTCGGGCGAGGCCGACCATATAATACCCTACACCTTTGACAAAAATATAATGTGATTTAATTGCCATAATAAAGCATTTAAGTTGAATTGTACCTTGCCTTAGATATACATACTTAAGCCGTTTACTGTTGAATAAAATTGTGGACATTTAAGTGAAATTTTGATGGGGGGGCTTTTCATAGGGGCTAGGGTAATATGAGAACCTATTATTATGGAATTCGTGAGGGTCATCAAGTCTTGTATACAACTTGGTTTTTGCAGCTTTTTGTCGAGATATGAGTATATTAAACATAATTATGAACTTAAAAGCCCTATTCGAGGGGTTCAGTTGTATGGGGGCTAGGTGAAATAATGGACCGATGTTAACCATTTTCAATAGGCTTCGTCTACGATACCATAAAAGATCATGTGCCAAATTTCATTGAATTATCTCCAAAATTGCGACCTGTAGTTTGATTACAAGGATTACAAGCCCTATTGGGGGGTTCAGTTGTATGGGGCTAGGTGAAATAATGGACCGATGGTAACCATTTTCAAAATACTTCGTCTACGGTACCATAAAAGATCATGTGCCAAATTTCATTGAATTATCTCCAAAATTGCGACCTGTAGTTTAATTACAAATTTTAAAAGCCCTATTCGAGGGGTTCAGTTGTATGGGGGCTAGGTGAAATAATGGACCGATGTTAACCATTTTCAATAGGCTTCGTCTACGATACCATAAAAGATCATGTACCAAATTTCATTGAATTATCTCCAAAATTGCGACCTGAACCCCCCAAGCCCTATTGGGGGGTTCAGTTGTATGGGGGCTAGGTGAAATAATGGACCGATCTTAACCATTTTCAATAGGCTTCGTCCCTGAGACAATAGAAGATCATGTACCAAATTTCATTGAATTATCTTCAAAATTGCGACCTGTAGTTTGATTACAAGGTTTACATGGACGGACGGACGGACATAGCTAAATCGACTCAGAAAATGATTCACTAAAGTGGTGTAGGGTATAATTAGTTCAAAATGGAAGGAACTTTTCTTAAGAAATGTTACTCAATATAGAATGAACTATCTATCTCTCAAACGGCATCTGCCTCCAATTATCAAGACTTTATAAAAACTTTCTAATGAAAAATTATTTCAAATTGAACTTTTCTAAATACAGATACAAAATCTGTCAAATCTGTTTTCAAGGAAGGATTTTCTACCGAAAAATTTTGTTTATAAAATCGTTCTAAAGAAACCTTAAAAGCTTAAAAGGTAAATATATTTAAATACAAAAATACTACTTAAAAGTTTTCATTTTCAATTCGTAATTTTTAATTTAACAAGTTTTTTTTTCCGAAAACATCATCATCAATCTCTCTTGTTGTTTACAAATCTAAATAAATACCAAGTTAATTAATATTCCTTACAATTTACACATTTATATATATATAAAAAAGAAAAGAAATCTAAAGATTAAATTATTGATATTGTACAACTGTAAATATAAATATCATTTACAAACTAAAATATAATATACATTTAATATAAATTAAACTAAATAGTAGTTGTTAAAAAAAAAAAGAAGAAATTACATGTTTTTGTTTCACTATAGCGTAATAATTAATAATTTTTGTTTTCTTGTCCTAGTACATGGTACATGTTCATTGGTGGTAGGAGAGCAGCAGCAAGCTCATACACTAAAAACGCATTTGGCATACGTTTGTATTTTTTTTTAGTATTGAATGAAACGTTTTAGAATGTTTTGCCATTATTTTTCTTGGAACCATTGTTGCGGGAATTTTGACTTGACTTCTTGCGTCGTTTCTCCGACGACCAGTCAACATCGTCCTCGTCATCACTGCCGGCATTTGTTTGCAGGTACGACGAGGAGGAAGACGAGCTAGCACTGTTGCTCTCCTTGGTGGCCAGACGACGGCTAGCTATGCGTGACGATATACGACCCATGCCCATACACTTTTCCAGGTGGGGAGCAAAGCGAGCCGCCGACACAGGCCTATCACAGTTGGGGCAGGTGCAGTCCATGGGTTTCTTGGCGGTGGAAATGCCAAATATATCAAAATTTGGCATATCAACAATGCGAAATGATGAGGTCTCGGCTTCTTCGTCCGGCACTCCATCGAGTGCTGTCAAATTCCCAGTCTTGCGTAAATGATGTATTTCAATAAAGACACCTACAATGGCATCGTCTAACAGCGTCTGATATAAATAGTTGGCAGCCTCGTCAAGACTTTTGGGATCTTTAACAATTTCTCGATACGATTTGAGAATGGCAGCTGTTGAGGTATTGGCATTCTGTGTTGTTGTTGTTGCATTATTAGACTTTTCGTTACCAGCAGGAACTTTCGATGAGGACGTTGAATTTGTTGTTTTATTACCACTATTATTGGAGGATGCAGTATTATTATTATTCGGAGCGCCGGTTGACATCTCTTTTAATTTGTTATAAATTTTTGTGTTTTCTATACAAATACAATGAAAGAAAAACTCTTAAAAAGTTTACATTTTTTGCTGATGTCTTTTCAGAGCCCTGCGTCGACAAATATTAACGGCGGTTTAAAATCGACTGTAAGCCGGCTAAATTTTCAACAACGTTTAGTTTTTAAATTTTCAACGATTTTAAATAATAACGGCATCCAAGATATTTTGGAAGCAAATATATTGTTTATAACAACAAAACAGAGCAAGCACAAAAGTTGTGTGAGACATTATACAGGGATAGATGGAAATTTGGTAGACATATTTTAGTTCCAACAAAAATTGTTTTATTATGGCAGCGACATGATTTTCGATTTTAGTTTTTCTTATAGAAATCGATAATTTAGGTCTATTAGCATCATCTCTGAAAATTTCGTAGCTATAGATCCAACAGATTCAACTTTACAAGATAAAGAAAAAAGACGTAAGTACACATTTATTTTCTGTTTATTAATTTAAATTTAATTCGATTTGATATTTATATAATGCATACTCAGATGATCTTTGGTATTTATTAAAATTGTGATGATCCCAAGGAACCAACCAATTGATACCTTCAGATAAACGTTTTTTTTTTTTTTTTTTGATAAATGATTCATACCCAATAAGCACTCAAAAATTATGATTTTTGAAATTTAACTGGATTTCAACTTTAATTCCAATTGTTGAGGTAGCAGGCTGTATCCATAATTGGTGTCCATGTGGCCGAATATGTCGTGGTTTCGCCGGCGTTTGATGTTGATAGTGTTTGTATAGTGGTTTCTCAATTGTGTGTCCTTGTTTTCTTGTTTGGTTTTCTTTGTGATGGTTGTGTGTCTTGTAGTGGAGTGGGTTTAAATTTTTTTTGTGTTTGGTTTTATTTGGCACTATGTTGATTTTTCTTTTAAAATGTTTTCCTTTTTGTTTAATTTGATTGTTATAACCCTACAAGAAATGTATGACCGAAACTAACACATGCAAAATGATTTTACTAACACACTTGCAACATTTTTCTTTAAAAATTACTAAAAAAAAATAGTTAATGGATAATTCCATCAATAATGACGGTCAAATGACCGGTAAAATGACTGTGATTTACTCAATGTGTGATAAAGGGTTTCATTTGCATATGAAAGAGTGAAACAACTACATTTGACTGTCACTGTGTTTTCGTCGCATAAATTAATTATTTCAGTGAAAGCCAAAGATCAAAAAGCAAAAAATTAAAAAATTTAAGACTAAAATTATTAAAAATAAAGAGATTTATTGTAATTTAAAAACGGTGCAGGAAGTGGAGCTGAGAATATACACTTCGGAGTTTAATCTATCTGTGGTAATATGAATACATATTTACTTTTAATTTTTATATTTCAATATTTATATGCATTTCTTTACAGACAATTTATTTCCTAAAATTAAAAGGAGCATAGGAGGATTTTACATTCTGTGAGGTATGTAAAATGGTGAAATGGTAGTTAATTTATGTATATGCTTACTATGTATATTAATAAAATTAAAAATATATATCTTAAAATGTTAATAAATTGTGTTTTATTATAAATTGGCATAGCCGTCAGATTTGACGGATAAATTCATCAAGTGTGATTGGTCAACTGTGATGGATATATCCATAAAGAATGATTAGTCAATCGTGACTAACATTTCCATCATCCTTGATTGGTAAAAAGCAAAAGAGTGAGCAGCTCAAATATATGTTTTAAAATCGGTAGAATTCATAAGTGCAAGGGAGATGCAAGATCACATGTACACAAAAGTTTCCATCAAATTTTTCATATTGCCCTTAAGAACTTGATAGAAACTTTGTTCTACGCAGTGATTGATATTTCCTTCACTAGTGTCAGTCAAATGACCGGTCAAATGACTGTCACTGTTCTTGTAGGGAAATGTTTACTATTGTTAAAAAAAGGTAAATGTCAAAATGTTTACAGGGTGATTCGGATAATAGATTTATTACTACGACAATAGGGTTACCACTGTTGCCAACTTTTTTCCCAAAAATATCGCTAAAGTTGACTGAAAAATAGCTAGAAAATAGCTAAATTCAAGACATTTATAAAAATTTAGCGATAAATCGTCAAAATAATATTTTTGTATAAAATTCTGAAAAAAATAGCTAAAAACTAGCTAAATTTTTCTGATTTTTTTATATTATTCTAAAATGTTAGCGATTTATCGCTAAAATATATATACATACATAGGAATGAGTAGGTACTGAGTACACATCTTATAACAAGCACATGAGAGAATCTTTTTTGTGTTAAATATTTTCAGTTTGGGTTAGGAAAAATGTAGTAAATTTTATGTTAATTTCGATATGCGACACTATACAGATCGCTTTAGAAATGTTGTAAAGTTAAAGTGAATTTCGAAATGTTGCCCTATTCGGCATAAGAGTAATTATACCCTACACCCTTTTGTGGGGAGTTTATCTGCAATATCGATAAGGCCCTATACGCCTCAGAAATGTTGTAAAGTTGTAGAAATTTATAGATCGATCCTTTCGTCATTTATTTCCACTGTTCACTATTTTTTAGAATTATAGTGAATTTTATTATCATGTCAGTCATTTACTAAAAGACTAGAATAACTTAATATTCGTTTTTTAATTGAGTACAGTAAAATATACCCCTTCTAAAGTTTTTTGTATAACTTTACTTGTTTTATTACCTCAAAAATGTTTATTATTTTTGGCGCAAGAGTAATTATACCCTACAACCCTTTGGGCACTTTATCTCCAATAACTTGATAAATTATTTCGGTTTAAGGTGAAATTTCACACAAATATTTTATTTTATTATAAGGAATAAATCACTGTTCTAAATATAATCATTACCGGTATGCTTCTAATTATGTTCTTCAGACATTCAAAATAACCTGTATAATACATACAGCTGTTAAGTTACTGACTAAAATTCAAAGAATTGCATTGAATGCATATTGTTATATACATATAAATATCGTCATTTGTAGCAAATTTTAAGCGATATTATCAAAATATAAATGTATTAAAAATACATTAAAATCTAAAGAAAAATCGCTAGATTTCCCGCTAATAGCTAAATCATATTTTTTCCCGCAAAATGAGATTAAAAATCGCTAGATTTGACGAGAAAATAGCTAAATTGGCAACAGTGAGGGTTACCAAGTGATAGAAAAGAGAAGGAAGAGAAATATGAACAGTATAAAAAAGCAACAAAAATTTTCTCTTAAATAAAAGACAATTTTCAAGGCCAAGGCTAAAAGTACATTGAACCAAACGGTGCTGATGTCCACTATGTTATGACTATACGTTATATTTATTTTGTTAAGTTATTTGTTGGTATGTTTTTTTAGTTACTTTTCTTATGTGAAATAAAAAAAAATGTCAGTAGTTGGACATCAGAAGTATTTAATAATGCACAGTCTACAATCTGAAGCTTTTAAATAAACATCTTAAAAGAGCGTTAAAAAGTTATAATCGGAGGTTAATAAATAAGAAATAATACTTACATAGTGAACAGTGACTTTAGTAAAGAAAGTTTGAAAACTCTTTGAAATTGTTTAGTTTGAATATAAAAGAAAACCTGTGAGTATTAAAGTGAAAATGCTTTCAAAGGAAAAATGTATTCAATTATAACATTTTGCTATTGTTTTCAATGAAATAGATATTGTGCCAGAGGAGTAGGAAGCCTCACGTTGAAGTGGAAAATTCACAGACTGCGGCGATTCCTGTAAAACTATCCTTTAGGACATATAAATATTTGAAAAAATATATTCAACAAAATTTAAAATAAACAGAAGGTAATACGGTTCACATTAAACTTTGTCATAATATATGGTTGACCCCGTAATTGAACAACAAAAGAAAAACTACGCCACCTACTTGTGAAAAAGTGAGAATTGATATTAGTCCCCCAAAGACCAGAACCTTTATTCAGGATCAAAACCGAAAGAAAAGGTGAAATTTGATTTTATAGCAAAAAGGCATTTGGGTAGTTCTGTATAGGGTAGGATAAGTTATTACATTTTTATACCCACCATCAAAAAAGATGGTGGGTATATTGTTTTTGTCATTCCGTTTGTAACACATCGAAATATTCATCTAAGACCCATAAAAGTATATATATTCTGGATCCTTATTAAATTCTAAGACGATCTAGCCATGTCCGTCCGTCTGTCCGTCGGTCCGTCTGTCTGTCCGTCTGTCTGTCCGTCTGTCCGTCTGTCTGTCCGTCTGTCTGTCCGTCTGTTGAAAACACGATAGAGTCCAAACGGAAGCAGCTAACGAGCTGAAATTTTGCACAAATATTTTATATTGATGCAGTTTGTTTGGTATTGAAAATGAGCAATATCGGTCCACGAGTTCGCCTAGCCCCCATATAAGGTCCCCTTCAGAAAACGACTTTAACGCTCATAACTATCTAAAAGAAGCAGCAATAGCGAAGAAATTCGACATAAACAATTTTTATAGGAATCTTAAAATCATTGTAAAATTTTATAAGGATAGGTCCATAAATGACCCTATCCCCCATATAAGTCCCCCTCAGAAAATGACATTAACGCTCATAACTGACTAAAAGAAGCAGCTATAGCGATGAAATTCGACACAGACATATTTTTTAGGAACCTCAATATCTTTGTAAAATTTTATAAGGATCGGTCCATGATTGACCCTACCCCCCATATAAGGTCTCCTTCTGAAAACGACATTAACGCACATAACTGTTTAAAATAAGCATCTATAGCGATGAAATTCGGCATAAACATATTTTATAGGAACCTTAATATCATTGTAAAATTTTATAAGGAACGGTCCATAATTGACCCTATCCACCATATAAGGCCCCCCTCAGAAAATGACATTAACGCTCATAACTGACTAAAGAAGCAGTTATAGCGTTGAAATTCGACACAAATATATTTTATAGGAACCTTAATATCTTTATAAAATTTTATAAGGATCGGTCATAATTGACCCTACCCCCCATATAAGGTCCCCTTCAGAAAATGGCTTTAAGGCTCATTACTGTCTAAAAGAAGCATCTATAGCGATGAAATTCGACACGAACATATTTTATAGGAACTTTAATATTATTGTAAAATTTTATAAGGATCGGTCCATAATTGACATTAACCCGCCTCCTTCTGAAAATGGCTTTAACTCTCATTACTAGACTAAACTAAAATCGCTCTAGAAAATTTGACGAGGATCGGTCCATAATTGACCAAACGTCCCCCCCTAAATAAGGTCCCTCTCAGAAAATAACTTAAACGCTTTTTACTACCATAAAAGTGCAAGTATAGCGACAAAATTCGACAAAAATTTCTCTATACATAGATGTAATAAATGAGAAAATTGGATAATAAAAGCATGGATTCTTAAATATCAAAGTTTATTTATAAGGAAGCATTCCTTTTTGGCAATGATTTGATGGTGGGTATACAAGATTCGGCACAGCCGAATATAACACTCTTACTTGTTTTAGGATAAGTTAGTTCATTAGTTCTTAAGAAATTTATGTATAACTAGTTTTCTTGAATTTGTAAAGGGATCAGATTAAAGAAATTTAGTATTTTACCGGAAAAGAAGGCAAGAATTAGAAAATATAGAACCTCAAACTACATCCTTCAGGGAGCTCCTTTAGGGACTGAAGAAAAGAAAAAATGATTTAATTGCGAGTAGTGATTTGGAACTCTCTTGTTTTTTTTTTTTTTAGTTGATCCTAAGATAGGAATATGTGTTAATTGTATTAGTTAAGTATATATATATATTTTTTTTTTTTTTTTTTTGTTTATATAAATTTAGAATAAGTATAGTTTGCGTAATAGCTTAGTTTTTATATATACGGAAGAGAAAAATTTTAATGAAAACTCACAATATTATTATAGTTGTTTCTGGATAGCCAAATATTTATTGTGTTGGAATTTTCACTATCTTGAAAGATAAGTGAGAAAAGAAAAAGAATCTAAAATTTTAAAAAGTCATTGAGAATATCAAATAGAAAAGATTTAAAGTTTGACAAATTGGTTGAGAAACCGTTCGATTAAATCTTAAGGATAAAAACAATTTTGTTTATATGAAAATATAATAAAAGTAGCAATAAACAAGATTTGTGAATAGAATAAAATAACGTTTATAAGAAATTTAAAAAATTATTGAAACCTTTTTGCTATACTATAAGAAAACAACAGATTAACAATCAGAAATAAATTTTAGTTTTAATTTAATTATTGTGTAGTTTAAGTGTTTTAGAAAATAAATATGACTTGAAATTAAAATGATGAAGAATATGTGTGACTAATTGTGTCTAAAAGTTCCAGGTACAGTGGGCCGAAAAGGAGGAGAGAGTGATGTTATGTTTTTTTATATATATTTTTTTTTGTTGGTACAGTCTCTTGGTGGTGTGGATGCGGGTTGGGTTCCCACGCCGATTGTAGAGCTGGTCGAGGCGGCATCGAAGCACCCCAAAATAACGAAGGAGTCTCGTAACACAATACTGTTTTCAAGTAAAAGAATAACCAATCACATATATAGATTAAACCCGTTAATTTTCGATTCTAAATTTAAACAAAAGGTATTTAAGTGATTTTAAAAGGTTTGTTTGCTATTAAACTATTAAATTTAAATAAAAAAAAAATATATATTGACCATTTTTATATAGACAATATTTCTGGTGTTTATGGCTTCATGGAAATTTTAAAATATCTGGCTGCTTTATTTGGACGTTGGAAGATGTAAACATGCTGCAAAGTGTCTGTTTAACAATAGTTTATAAAAATCACCTATGTTTATAATATCCATTTGCTTAATTTTTTTAATAAAAGGTATGTTTCATATAAACTATATGTTCAACCAGACATTTGAGAGATTGAAATAAAATGAATAGTGCTTATTGGAAATATACATACATATATAAAAAATGTATTTGTTTAACAAATGACAACTTGGTTTAAATTATGTGAGGATTAGGGTTCTATAAATCGACTTTCGAATAATCGAACAATCGACTTTTTGTCGAAAAAAGTCGAAAAGTCGAAGTCGACTATTTTGTTCCAAAAAAGTCGATAACTCGACTATCGTCTATGAAAAAAGTCGAAAAGTCGACTTTGTAAATAAAAGTCGAAAAGTCAAAAAATTGGAAAGTCGAAAAAAGTTGAAAAGTCGAAAAAAGTCGATAAGTTGAAAAAAGTCGAAAAAAGTCGAAAAGTCGAAAAGTCGGAAAAAGTCGAAAAGTCGGAAAGAGTCGAAAATTTTAAAAAAGTGGAAAAGAGGTCAAAAACTCTAAAATAGTCGGAAAAACTCGAAAAAAGTCGAAATAAATCGAAAATAGTCAAAAAGTCGTAAAAAATCAAAAAGTCAAAAAGTCGGAAAAAGTCGAAAAAAGTCGAAAAAAGTCGGAAAAAGTCGAAAAGTCGGAAAAAGTCGAAAAGTCGGAAAAAGTCGAAAAGTCGACCATTTATAAAATACTAAAAGTCGAAAAGTCTAAAAGTCGACTTTTAAATAAATGAAAAAGGTCGAAAAGTCAAAAAATCGACTTTTCATAAAATGGAAAAAGTCGACTTTTAACTAAATGCAAAAAGTCTATAAGTTTCAACTATAGAACCCTAGTGAGGATTGTCTAGAAAGAAAAGTTGTTCTATAAAAGTTCTATAAAAAATTGTTCAATATGAAACGAATTTTCCGAAAGAAAAGTTGTTCAATAAGAAACTTTTCGAAAGAAAAGTTGTTCAATAAGAAAGGAACTTTTCTAAAGAAAAAATTTTCAATATGGAACGAACTTTTTTAAATAACTTTTTTTCAAAAATTTCAGGAACTTTTCTTAAGAAAAATAGTTTAAAATTTATCAAACTTTTCTAAAAAAGATTTATTTTAAAATTATGTATTATTTTTTGCAATTTTAGAAATAGGATGTTTGATTTTATTTAAATTTTCAAATCCTGCTATAATAATAAATCCCTTAATTTTCATTTAATGCACTAAAAAATCATCTGGTAACTCTTTGTACCATATGTTTTGTTATCAACTTCTAGTGAATGTTCTAAAAAAAACTAATTTTCACAGAAAATTTAATAAAATTAAATAAAACAGAAAAATACCGATAAAAATGCTTTTAGATGATAAACAACAAAAATATAAACAATTTGTGGATAAATTATTGCAACGTTGCCAGGAAATACAAACAGAAAATGAAAGACATGTATTAAGGTAAAATAAAGAAAAGTATCCTAGGGGACAACATCCCTTTATAAAATCCTTCCTCTCTATCTTCCAATAGAATCAACACCATTAAAAAACTTATACGTAGACGTGTACGTGATGTCGAGCTTCTAAAAAGACGTTTAGATCAACATAACGACAATTGGCGTGCCCTGCCCATGGTAGCACCACATCCTAAACGTAAAATTGAACAGAAACGTGGCCCTAAACCTAAAAATAAGGATTGTAATGCTCAAGAACAGAAGGAGAAGAAAGTGCGCAAACAGCGTGTTAAGAAAAATGGTGAAGATAAACCCAACAACAACAATATCAATAATACATCATTGGCCGAGGTGCAAGATATGCTGGAACAGACACGCTATCAAGAAAGTCAGGCTCAACAGTTGTTAATGATGCAGCAGCGACAGTTGAATTTGAAAAATGATCAGCTACTTTGATTGCTAGTTAATGTTAGAATATTTAAGGTTAATAAATTGAATTAAGTAGAATTTTAAGAGATAGATGTAGAAGTTAAGACAAAGGTACAAAATTTTACTTAAATTAGGTAACATTTTGTACCTACGTGCGACTGTAGAACCGTTACAAAATTAAACAAAGTTTTTGTAGAATAACTAAATCATTAAATTTTTTTGGACCTTAATAAAAATATGAAAACGTTCTTGGCTTTCTTCAGTTGAAAGCATTTTGCGTGAATAATTGAAAAAAAAAACTGTTTTTTTTCGGAAAATAAATTTTTTGTTTTGCCGTTATTTCTTGTTCTCTGTAAATATGACTTTTCTGAGAAAATCAGTTAAATTCTTCCAATTTGTTATTTCTTTACATTCATTCTTTATTTTACCGTTACATTGTCAAAATCTTGTAGTTTACGTAGGTATTTTGACAAGAGACGTGTATTTATCAACTTCTTAAAATTAAGCAAATACAAAGTTATGTTTAAAATAAGAATTTCCTGCAACAAATTATCGTATCGGGTGAGTTTAATACGTATTGATAAAGTGAAATTTAAAACATAAATAAAAAATACAAATTCATTTTTGGATTCTAATTCAAAACTACTAAAAAGCCAAGCAAGTCACCTAACACACGGCAACAATCAAACAACAACTTATTCAGCTTGTCTCAAACGAGCTAAACGTTGGGTTAATTCATCTTGTTCCTGTGATACTTGGGTGGAAGCTCCAATGGTCGAAGATTGTATACCACTAGGTAATTCCATGTTGAGTTCCAAACTATTGGAAATATATAAAATATAATGAAAACAAACTTCTCTTAAAAATAACAAAAAAGTCAACTTACCCAGCCTCATCGGCCACTTGTTGCAATAGATTATCCACATCACCCTGGGGCACTGAAGTGGTAACCGTATCGGACATGGTATTTTCCATAACCGAACTTTGCACATCCAAGTCCTCGAATTGTTGTTCGAATTTCTCCATTAACGAAGAAATTTTCTCCAAATTCATACCCTTCATGGCAGCATCCATAGCTTTGACCACACCGGCCATTGAGCCCGTCACTTTACGTGTGGTCAAAGCCGATTGTACACGACTAGCTACAGCATCTACTCGGGCACTCATACGCAAATAATTAACTGCTTGATTTTTCTGTCTTATGGCATTTTCTGCATGTATTCGTGCCACATCCATATTGCCCTTTTGTATGGCCTTTTTGGCTTTGGCTTTTTCCAGTTTCTCTTCCTTTTCGCATTTTTTACTATTGCGTTCTAGTTCTTTGACCGCGAATTTCAGATTGAACAAATGTTCTGTAAAATGTTAAATTAATAAGACACACACATGTAATAATTAATTTCATTTAATTAAACTCAAAGTATTTCCTTAACTTACTTTCCATTTGTGCCGTAGACATATCGTTCCCCAGTTTGCTGCTTTTACTTTAAACACTCAAAAAATTTAAAATATTTGTTTTATATTATTTTTTTGAAATATAAAAATGTTTTAATTTGTTGGCTAGTTTTTTTTATTTATTAATATTTGTTTAATATTGTTCTGTAATTTTTCTTTGTATGATTCACTTGTTTTTCTTTGATTCTCTTTCTGCTATACATTCTTTAAAAAAAAAGTACGTCATTCTTATCAGCTGTAAGCAGGGTTGAATTTAACAATAATGCCAGATTGTTAAGCAAGGGAAGTGATGGAGAACGTTACTAGTGGTAAAAATGGTGAGAAAGTAAGTTTTTATTTAAAATATACAGTTACTAATTAATTACAACGAGAACCGCTGACCACAGAAGGCATTTGGACGATTTTGAGATTTAATAATAATTAAATTTTATTTATCTATTTGTAAAGCTAATCCAAAAATTAGGTTTTAACAATCTTATGCGCAATCTTTATTTCAAGTCACTAAATTTAAATGTCAATGGTATTACAGGTGAATTCACAAAATAACTTTTAAAAGCATTTTCAATGGGATAATTAAATTCAATTTTAAAATTACGCACTAAATTAGCCATGGTTATTTCCATTTCCAAATCAACAATACGTTTGCCCACACATGAACGTGGACCAAAGCCGAAGGGTAAAAATGTAAACGGATTTATATTCTTTGCAGACATGCTACTATATTCCATGTTCTCCACACGTAACCATCTCTCCGGTATATATTCATTGGGTTTAGGAAAGTACCTCTCATCTTGTAGCAGTAAATTTGAAGGCAACAAAACATTTGTATTTTTAGGTATTTGATAACCACTTAAACAAAGATCCATGCCGGTAGCTCTTAAATTGCCAAATACCACTGGATATAAACGTAGAGCTTCTTTTATGCAAGCTCTAAGGTAGGGCAAATGTTTAGTATTTTCTATGGTGAATTTTTCACTTTTGCCAATTGTATTTAAAATTTCCTCACGCAATTTCTGTTGTTTCTCTGCATTGGTGGCTAAGCAAAGAATAAGTGCCGATAAAACGGACGAAGTAACCTCGACACCAGCTATTAACATATCTATAGACATAATCATGGCGATTTTACGATCAATTTTTAATAATTTTTCTAAAACACTCTTTCCGTCAGTGTTATCGCCTTGCTTTTCCAAACGCTGTAAAGCCTCATTGGTATATTTGAAGCAAATATCGAACATAGTGTCCATAGATTTAGCAAAACGTTTGTAGGTGGGCGTTTTGATATATCTATAAATCGAAGGTTTTATGCCCAAATCATAAAAAGCTCTGGTAAAAAGTTGTAAATTCTCAAATAATTCTTTAGCTTCGGGCGTAATGGAAGTATTTCTAATAAGACCCATCTCCTTATCCAAAGCCACTACAGCTACAGACTCAAATGATAAACGATTTATATCTTTTATAAATGTACCGGGAACTTCCAAGGTCTTAGGATCGCGGATTTCTTTAATTCTGTTAAAAAATGCGATTAAATATTTCATATATTTTGAAACTGTTTGAAAGAAATTTATTGATAACTTACCTTTGTACAAACTCATTATTAACCTTTTGCATGGGATCCATATAAAGTTTAGCATTTTTGGGTTGCATTAAAACAGGATTAACTGCGTGTCTAAATTTTCCCCATTGTTTGCCACTAAAAAAATAAAAAATTTTCTTAGTAAAATTTAGTATAAATTACGTTAAAAAACTTACTTTCCTGCCATTCCCAAATATTCTTCTACATAAAAATTATCTTTCCTCGACAGACGATAATAGTTTACCAATTCATTACCTGGTCTTATGGGATATGGTCCTTCGGTACGAAATATTTTTTCATGATCCTCCAAATTAAATGTTATCAAGTTGGAATTTAAACCAAATAATCCAGGCATATAATAGATATCGCCATAACGTTGACGAAGCAAGTTTAGAACATCAATAAATGGTAAACTATGAAATTCACCCCCCTTAATAAAACCACGAAACATTTGAAATTTAGATGGTCCTGGTAGGGTTTCAAAAGGTTTCGCCTGAGACCATTCTGCTTGTAAACTATCAATATAAGAAGTTTCCAAAGCAGGTTGATTGATCTATTAGGAAGGAATATGATATTAAATATTTCTACAGACACCTGCAAATTTTATAGTATTTTTTTGTTTAACATACCTTAACATCAACAAGTGTTGAATACTTGTTGTAATTTATTAATTTAAATAAATATTTTGATTGTTTCAGTTGTATCTTTGTTATCATTTTATATACTATGCGCCGTTGAAGCAACCTCTCTATATAAAATCTGAATTAAAACTGAGTATATTATATTGTTTGTAATTTAATCAAGTACTTTAATAAAAGCTAATTTTTATTAAATTATTTTGATAAGAGATGATCACCTCAACCCTCCAAATGTACTATACCAGTGTGTACTGAATATATACATACTATATACATAGGTATGTGTATTATAAATTAATGCTCAAAAATCTTAAGAGAAAATTGTAGTTATATTATTTTCTTAGTAATTCAGTTGATTTAAACATATTTATATAAGTTACTTCAAAAATTTCGACTAGAGTTCGGTAGATATTTAGGCGCAATTTACTATTAGATTCTCAAGAAATTAAAATCTTAATATTCGACTGGAGTATCATGGAAATTTCTATACAAAATTTTGTCGCCATTTTCTACTTAATTTCTATAGAATTTTTGTCACCAATAAATTTCTACGAAGATTTTATCGCTAATTTCGACTACATTTTTATAGAAATTTTGTCGCCATTTCTGAATAAATATTATAAAAATGTCGTCAGTTTCTACTAATTTCTACAGAAATTTGGTCTCCAATTTCGGCTAAATATCTATAGAAATTTTATAGAATATTTCTACTAATTTCTTGTAAAAATTTTGTAGAAAATTTCGATTTAATTTTTATAGAAAGTTTGTTGTAAATTTCTCCTAAATTCCTATATAAATTTTGTGATTTTGTATTATAATTTTCGACTAGATTTTATTAACCCTTAATAGCCTGGTGGTACCGACAGGAACCAACCAATAAAAATTAAGTTTTTTGTTATTTAAATATTGTCAACTTCATGTTATGACTTTTAAAATGTTTTTATTTGCAAGCGGCACTAATTTCTTTGATCGGTATTGGAATCAAGTTTCATTTGGCTTGTCCAGGTTCAAAGAATGCAATTACCTCAAAAAAAAATTTCTTTGTGATATTGTGTACTTTTGACAAAAAGTTTTAGTTATAAATCGACAAATCTTAAACAGAAAAAAATATTTTACGGATCGTTGCCTAATATTATTGTAATAATAGGTATTTGAAGTGATTTTACTTCTTTAGTTAGTGGGATTTTTAAATTTCTGGTTGGTTCTTTAAGGGACCACCAGGCACCCAGACTTCAAATTTTTCATACATCAGATTATATAAATCGATATTTTTTGGGATGTTTTTTGATTGATTTATTTTAAAATGAAGCATAGCATTTCTGCCAGTAGTCTGTTATTGCTTGATGAAATCTTTTGTTTAAAATTCGAGTGGGGAAAAGATCGACCAAACAATTTTGGGGTTGAAATTGCTTAGAAACGTCGGCGTACAATCTCTGTTTATTGCCAACTAGCTATATTCACCTAGATCACATAATACTCTACCAAAATTTATACTATAAGGCATAACGCGATCAAAAAAATCCAATTATTCATCCCTAACGAAAGTTCGATGTCGAAAATGGTCGCAATAAAATCATATTTTTCATCAGAAAAGAGCTGTTTTATATATTTTATTTATATCCCAATATAATTATATTCATTAACAATGAAATTGCTTATTATTGCCTTTAAAGTACGTTTTACAATATTTATAATTTGGAAGTCCGGGTGCCTGGTGGTTCCTCTAGGAACCAACCAGGTATTTTTCGCATAACACAGGTAAATACTACATATGAACAAAGTTGTAGAACAAAAGTTGCTTAGAAATGTAAGTTTTATAACATTAATTTTTTTTCCGTTCAAACAAAAAAATCAGGCTATTAAGGGTTAAGCGACATGGCCACACATCAAATTGTTTGACTCAAAAGGTAAGTTTTTTTATTGTGTTAGTAAAAAACTCACACCCGCATATATACATGTGAGTTTTTTCACTACCCAATAAAAAACTTACCGTTTGAGTCAAACAAATTTGATGTGTGGCCGTGTCGCTTTAGAATTTAATATCCCCTCAACTTGCCGAGTTAAAGTTTACTTTTGGTTATAATTTGTGCTTTTTTGGTCTCTCAATATACATTTTAAAAATATGGCATCTCTATATTTACATATTTTTTGTATTTCTCTACACATTCTCATTCTATATTTGGCATTTACTATATTTACACATCATACGTCGTAGTAATTAGAAAAAAATTAATAAAATTTACAAAATTAATATAATTTAATAGAAAAACTAAATAACTTGTTAATAACATTAAAATTATATTATAAAGAATAATTAAACTTAAGAAAAAACTCGAAAACAAATTAATAAATAAAACAAAATGAGTGACGACGATAGAGATATTGACATTGAAAGTGATGTAAGTGGAATACAAAAAGAAATGAAATTACAACAACTAAAACACATTTTTTAAGCATAAACAAAATGAAAAATAGTTAATTTTAAAGAAAAACAACAACAATACTAATTGTTTATATTATATTTGTTTGGTTTTAACAGGATGATAATGATTCCGATGCTGGAGGTTCTCAAGCAGAGACACACTAGCACACAAAATTTTACCCAAGAAGAAAAACGGGCCCACCATAATGCTTTGGAACGTAAGAGACGTGATCATATCAAAGAAAGTTTCACCAGTTTAAGAGAAGCTGTACCCTCGTTAAAGGGTGAAAAGGTAAAATTATCAACAGTTAAGGCAGAAAAAATAGACATACCTATTTATTTAATATAATTTTATTATTTGTTTATAGGCAAGTCGTGCCCAGATTTTAAAGAAGACCACAGAATGTATACAAATTATGAGAAAAAGATTCAAGCTAATCAAAAAGATGTAGAAGATATTAAAAAACAAAATGCTGTACTAGAGGCACAAAGTAAGTCATTGGGGATTATAAATAAAACTTTTAAAAAACCATATTTTCTTCTTATTTTTAGTACGTATGTTGGAATGTGCAAAGAATGGCTATGTTATTGATCCCACAGAATATCAACAGTTGACCAATGGTGATCAAACATTACAACACGACAGTTCGGATGGTGATGAACAAGATTTTAGTCGTCGTAGTAAAAAAATGAAAACGTCTTATCAGGCCTAGTAACTAATGCAAAAATTTGATGATATGAAAGTTTAGAGATGTTATAACTTACAACAACAAGAACAACCAAAAAAAAAACATGTAAATCAAAATATGCAACTGTAAAACAACTAATTGAAACAATTATGGAATAAAAAACTCATAGGATTTGTTGAAAGGATTATAAGAACTAACAGATTAATAGCCAAAATCTATTAAGAGTATAAATATTTGTATAATATTACATTATTGGAAAAAAAGTAGTCAAGTAGTAGAAGAAAAGTAAATTTTCCCACTCTCTAATATTTTTTGTGTC